ACCGTGACATTAGCAGCCGATTTGTAACCACTACGCTACCAGTAGCTCAGTTTAGAAACAAGATAAATCCTGTACCTCCTCCCCACCTCCATAGTTTTCAAAATGTGTCTGGGTATTGAAAAAATTTTTTTTGAAATAATATCAAGTTTATAGAACCAGGTGAAAGGATATTACAAGGACTCACCATATAAATCCTTTAACAAGAATTGCCAGTTAAGATTTCCCCTCATTTGCTTTTTATTCTCTTTCTACACATATGTACATTGTTTTTTTCTGGGACTATTTGATAGTAAGTTGCCTACACCATGACTCTCTAACCTTGAATATGTACATAATTCCTAAGAACAGGAGCATTTTCTAATACAATCATAGTACAGTTAAACAGCATCATTAGATTTAACATTGACCTAGTTTTTTTTTATGTACTTTAACATCCATATTCCAGTTTTGTCAGTTTATTCAATAAAGTACGAATTTTTGCGTCCTTTAGGACCATTTGTTGTATTTCGTTTTCAAATTTGTTTGGTCTCCTTTAGTTGGGATCAGTTCTTTAGCCTTCTGTGACATTATTTTTATAGAATGTAGGGTCTGTCCCCTCTTTACAGAATTTTACTCATGTTGGATTTGATCAGTATTTCCTTGTTAGATTCAGATTATGCATTTGTTGTTGTTATTGTTGGAATACTACAGTGTTGTTGTTGTTAAGTGCTGTTGATTCTGACTCATAATAAACCTGTACAGGGTTTCTTAGGAGCAGCTGGTGAGATTGAACTGAAGACTTTTTGGTTCAGACTGACTTTGGTCCAGTGCTTATCCTACAGCACCACACTGTGACTCTGGAATACTACATTTTTTTCTTGTTAAGTGCTGTCGAGTTGGTTCGACTCATAGACCCTGTACAGTGTTTATGAGGAGCAACTGGTGGGTTTGAATTGCTGACCTACAGATGTGTAAATCCTGCTGCATTTTGGATTTGATCAGTATTTTCTTATTATATTCAGGTTATGTGTTTTGTTGTAATAGTACTTTGCTGTTGTTCAGTACTGTCGAGTCAATTCTGACTCATAATGACCCTGTATAGGGTTTTCTGCGGAGTGATTGGTGAGCTTGAACTGCTGACCTCGTGGTTCAAAGTAACCTTGCAATCCAGCGTATCAACCCACAGTGCTAAATCAGTACACCTTTGTTGTTGGTGTGAAGTGCTGTCAAGTCAGTTCCAGCCCATAGTGACCCTGTATAGGGTTTCTGAGGAGCAGAGATGGGTAAATCCTACCACTCATTGGTGATAGGGATTTTGATCACTCAAGCCAAAGTGTTGTTCAGTTTCTTTACAGTGTTAACATTTTCCCCCTGTTTGCTTACAGACAATTTGTTGGGAAACAGTGTAAAACCATACAAATGTTCTGTTCATTATAACAAATTTCTCCACTTAGATTTAGCATCTACTAGTTCTTGTTATAAGAGTCCTGGTGTGGCATTGTGGGATAATGACTGGTTAGCAAGGCTTGCGGTTCACACCCACCAGCTGCTCCTTGGAAACTCTACAGAGTTGCTATGAGTCGAAACCGACTTGAAGGCACTTACGAACATTTACAACATCAAGTTCTTTTCATATTAGTTTTTTCTAGGTGTTTTTAGTTTTAGAATTCTGTTTATGTGCATACAACTGAAACGTTGACCCTGCTCTGGCAACTGAGTTTCACTGAGATTTTGTTTCCTTGGGTGGCTTCACTGTGTTTGTTACATTATATCTGCTTTTTAAAAAACAATTTGTTTAGCAATCATTTATTGTTTTAATTGGGCTGCAATTATAAATTATTGTTGGCCTGCAAATGAATAGAAAGATTGAAAACTACAAAATTGGTAATACAGTAAAATTCATAGAAGTTGGAAAGACGGAAACCTGTCAGAGAGGGAAAATGAAATATTTTCCACTACTTAGAGCGTGATAGGAAAGTGGAAAGACTCTGTCCTCTATTAAAGATGGAAAACTTTAAAGACCTGCAGAAACAAGACCAGTCCCACAAGACTCTCACTGGTTTAAATGTAAAAGCAAAGAATTTAAAAAAAAAAGAAAAAAAAAAAAAAGATTGCTATTTTAAGTACTTGACAGATTAAATTGAAGGAGCTGAGTGAGAATATTTCCCAGATTTTATATCACAAAACCAAACTTTTATAAGACAAGTATATTGCTTTTATTCTGATAGTGATTTGTTTTCTGCATATTTAGTGTGTTGACTGACTTACTGCCTTAATCCTCCTGAGAGGACGAAAGATTGAGTTTCTGACTTCTCTCTATTCCCCCTCCTCCCTTTAGGGCAAGAGGACTATGACAGATTACGACCGCTGAGTTATCCACAAACAGATGTATTTCTAGTTTGTTTTTCAGTCGTCTCTCCTTCCTCTTTTGAAAATGTGAAAGAAAAGGTGAGTTGGTCAAGTATTCTCTTCCTTAAAGAGGTTGTCCCAGAACTTGTGTTGACCTGGTGTAAATTGCATTGGATGATTACAGATTAAAATTTAAAAAAAATATTTTTTCTCTAGTGGGTACCAGAGATAACTCACCACTGTCCAAAGACCCCTTTCCTGCTTGTTGGGACCCAGATTGATCTCAGAGATGACCCCTCTACTATTGAGAAACTTGCCAAGAACAAACAGAAGCCTATCACTCCAGAGACTGCCGAAAAGCTGGCCCGTGACCTGAAGGCTGTCAAATATGTGGAGTGTTCTGCACTCACACAGGTGAGGACTGTCAGTTTGTTCACTGTTGAATAGTAGAGTTTTGGGGCATTAGTGGCAGCATCGATGGACTCAAACGTGGCAACAGTAGTGAGGTTGGCCCAGGATCAGGCAGTGTTTTGTTTTGCTGTGCATAAGGTTGCTATGGGTCGGTACCGACTCGATGGCACCTAACAACAACAACAACATCAAGGAAATGCAGGCAGGTTGTTTGTAACAGTGCTCAGCAATGCTCACTAAAGCCGCCCAGGGAGAGTATGACCAGCTTTGTATGTATTTATAGGAAAAAATTATGAGTCTCTAAGTAAAGTTCTTGTGTTTATAAGCTCCTATATTGTAGTGAACGATTTCACTGTAAGGGAATGTGTGAGTGTGTGTGTGTTTAAATAGGAAAAAGTCCAGATAAGCGTAAATTTTAACAAGTGAGGATGTGACTGAAAATTAAAAAAAAAATTCATATAAATATATCTGGTCTTTTTGATCTTTTCTTACCAGTTTTTACAGTTGATGTAACTGTATTGTCATTCAGCTGGGACAGGGAATTATTCTTAATTACTGATACTTCTTTCTATGTAAGAAAGCTAGCTTGGCTGGTCTACCACAGTTAATGCATGCTTTGTGTAGTGTCTGTATTTAAATTTTTGGAAATTCATTTTCCATATTTATGTAGCCCTCTCCTGTCTAATTCTGAATGATTTTAATTGGAACATCTCTCTTAGTTTGATGGGATACAACAAATTCTTCAGATGGAAGAAAATTAGAATATTGAGTGAAAGTTGTAATTGGCTTGTATGTTATAATCCCTACCTTCATGGTATTATTGATTTCCCTCCTTTGAGGACTGTTCTTGGAGCAAAAGAAAGAGTTTATAGAATTAATTAGCCTAGAACCTTCATATTCTACTGTGCTCCTGAAACTTGAATAGTGAGCAAACATATTTGATCAAAATAGGGCAGGGGATTAAAGGTTTCTAATAGTTTTATAGAACCCACCTGTATTTATTATGCTTACTTTTTTTCAGGTGATTTTTAAAAAGTATCATTTTTGTTTGCCCCTTTTTTTTTTTTTTAAACGCTATTATAGTCTTGATTATATGTATACGAAGGCAAATGACATTTATAATTACATATTACATATGCATTAGGTATATAGTATATAGAGCTAGTGCATATTTTAAAAACTTTCAACTTAGTGCTTAGTTGGATATCTAAAGGTAAACTTTTATGCTTAACTAGATATTTCACGAAGTAATTTCAAGGCCTAGGATCAGATCATTTTAACACATTCTCCCAAGCCTAGCCTAGTTTTCCTTGGCAGTTTAGTGACATCTTAAAGCAGATCTTTGAAAACTTCAGAAAAATTTGCCTCTATACGCACAAAACACTGATTGACTGTTAAAGAAAACAATTCTGGTGTTTCTCTGTGTTTAATGTTTTGATGCTATCCTCAGAAAAATGTGGTTCGTGTGCGTTGAGTTGGAAAGATGGGTATGTAGCAGCACGCAGATTTGAACGGATTACGTGTAATTTATTGCATACCCTCTGTCCATATGGAGTACCTTCAGGGAGATGGAGGGAACTGTGAAGTAGGCTGTACTAGAGTTTAGTCTAGATAATTGGGTGTTTCCATGGAAGAGTTGTTATACAACATAAACACGTTTATAGTCACTTTTCTGAGAATAGGATGTATAAAAAGACACACTTTAGCAGAAACATTTTGAAGTTTGAAAAAGTAGGAGAAGAGAAGATAGAAAGCACGGTCTGTGATTGTGGTAGAATTTTTAAGACCCTAGATTCTATTTGTTGATGTCGCTAAAACTATGCTCCTTAGAAACAGGTTAAGCAAACTCTATAATAGGTATGGTAAAGATTAATTTTATTTTATAGGAGATCTGTTAATCTTTACAACAAGCTAGAAACAATTTGCGTCTTGTTAAGAGACACTCTAATTTCTAATGGCTCTCCCCTTCTTTTTGTCTTATAAAATCCAGTTCTCTTCCTCCTTTTATTGACCATCAGACTTTTTTCCCTAGATATGTAGAAAGGATTTCAAAGGAACATTTATCTTTTGTTTGGCTTTTCTACTTTGTAAATTATATAGAAGAAAACTTTTTCACTTTGGTTTTTAAAAAACGTGCTGAACACCTTCTCCACTTAACAATATGATTAGGTTCCAAAGATGAGGTTGCTATGAGAAAATTGATATTGGGGAAATGGAGGATGACCCTATCAGAACACGACATGGAGGATAACGTCATGGTTCCATAACTGACAAATTATATCATTGCATAATAACTTGTCAAACCAGTGAGAATCGTGACCCAACCAAGTTGACACGTAACCATCACAGCCAACATTTCTTTCATCTGGTACCTTGGTATTCATTACTGCCAAATGTATGTGCAAAATATTTGGGTTTTTAAGATTTTTTTTTTTACTATTGTCGTAACTGTGAAATGTTGGATAACCAGATAGTCGGTAAGTGAGGAGTTGGTGTATTCTGTTTCTCATTTATCTTGTATCTAATGGCATGTGTAGGTGCCAGTTCCCTGGGAGACTGTAGTGGGAATAGGGTGGGGGAGGTCATACTGGAAGTGTGTTCTGAGATTTTTGGAAAGTTTTTACTTGGGATGAAATTAACCTAAAGAACATGTGAAACTTTATTGGATAGTAAACATGTGGCTTCAGGTTTAGGTGAGTTTAGGTGAGTATATAGCACCAAAGTACCACTACTGCCAAGTCTCACACACTGTCACGTTGGAGTTTCTGGCTGTGTTGTAAGTGTATTTCCGCATCTAAACCCTGTAGATCTGAGGATAATCTTTGTTTTCACTCCATGCTTTATGTTCTGGTATCCATGCAGACATCCAAAAGCATTGGATTGCTTGCTAAAACTCATTCTAGGAACCCCATGCTTTATTTTCCTATGACTTGGGTGGTGGTTACTTGCTTTAATAACATTACTGAATAACTGAAGTGTATGCTGTTTCTAGAGTCTGCTCTCTAAACTTCTCTGAGTGGATACTGTTGAATAATTAACACTCTTCATAAATGCCTGCACCTTTTTGTCCTTAGAAAACAATTTACTTTGAAATCCTGATTTAATTCCATCCAGATATGTCATTGAACCTAGAAACATGTAGCATGCCTGTTAGTCTGCTATTTGTGTCCTTCAGTTATTCAGGGCTGAATTCACATAAGCTTGAAAATATAATAATTTTATTTCTAAAATGTACATGTCATTAGTAGAAATGTTAGTGAATTCCACAATGTTTTATTATCTGATACATTCATCTACCCAAATGTATCTTATTTACATTAATTTGGCATTGTTTTAATTAAAATGTTATGTCTCAATGTACTGTTACTATTTCAGAGGTCAATATACTGCATTTTCATGAAAATTGCTTTCTTGCTCAGTTAACCTCTTTTTGAGGTAGGAAAAGTGTCTTTTACATTTTTACTATCCTAGTAATGGGTTTAAGATCGAGATTTCTGGAATTTATTTTTCTTGCCGCTTCTGTGAATTCAGCCCGTTTGATCCGGACTGCTATTTGTATCTGCTAGTCTTTCTAATCCTCTAACCTGGCTGCTATTCTCTCTCCTCCCCTCTGTCTTGTAGAGAGGTCTGAAGAATGTGTTTGATGAGGCTATCCTAGCTGCCCTCGAGCCTCCGGAAACTCAACCCAAAAGGAAGTGCTGTATATTCTAAACTGTTTTCTCATTCCCCTCTTTGCTGCTGCTTCCTGTCCCACTATTGTAGAAAGATCATTAAAAAAAAAACTGACAACAAAGGAATAAAACCATCCTGTTTGAAAACCTCTGCGTCTTTTTACTCACCACTTAGAGCAACCTCTGTATTAGTTTTTTGGTCAAGAATGCATTATCTTATAGAACATTTTTTGTGATCAGTAGTCAAATTGGACTTGTTTTACTTTTTGCTGCTTGAGTTGCCTGATGCTCAGAGTTTTTGGTTTGGATTACTATTGCAAAAGGGAACTTGGTCTGGCATTAAGAATATCCTCTTTGAAATAAGAGTTTTCAAACAATACTAGATTTTTAGTTCTAGATGGAGAAAATAACACAAACATCATTTTACTCTTATGATTGATTGTTAATTGCATGACATAACTTTCATGGAAAAAGGTGACTTTGCTAGTACAGCTGTAATGGGGAAGGGAAGATTTTTTTCTGGTTTTCCTTTGTGCAGTGAAACTTTGTGTTGCTATTGCTTTGGCTGTCTGTGCTGTAGTAGAGTATTTGTCAGTCTGGGGTGTGGAAGATATTGATGTATATGCTATTGCTTTATGAGATCATTTGTTACATTATCTTTTAAGCCTAGTATCCATTTTAACAGTTGACGTAAGGTTTATTAATGTTGAGATGTAAAGCCGCCACCTTTGTATTTTCCTGCTTCTGATTTTATTGTTGTGAGGGAAACATACAACTGTGGTTACCTTAAAATTTTGAAATTAAAAAACAAACAAACAAACAAAAATAATTATTTGTATAAATGCCTGATGAAGCCTTCTTCCTGTTGCACTGACTGGCTCTAGTTTTACATTTGTACTAGGTACCCATATTTTTGCTTCCTTAAATCCCCTTGGCCCTGTCTGATTGGTGGGATAAAGGGAGTTCAAAGTGAATATCTTTGATACAACCACCATAATCACTCTTTTCATCCTTGCCTGCGCCTTCCATTTAATAAAGTTGCTACTCACTTGTGCTGGTCCTCTCAGTCCTCTTCCATATCTAGCTGTTTCATTTGAATGCAGAGCTACTTCACTTGTTTTTATGTAAAATGTCTCAGCAGCACATTACAAAACTTGTATTGAATAGCAAATGACACATGAGCTTCTTTGCTTCTTGTGACATACATTGGTCTGCAAAAAGCTTTCTCAGAGGACCACTGTCTCACTCATGAATATCTGCTCCTCTGCTCCTGAATTGCCTGACCCGTCTAGTGCCCTGCCTGGACCAAACTTGGTGAAGTGAGATTACTGTGTGAAATTCAGGGTTGTTTTTAATGTTTCATTCTTTGCCATCTCTTGGGGATATGAATGTTTTGTTTTTTCTGTTTTTTAAACTTGATCGTCTACTTTTACTGAAAATCAGATTGCCCATTTTTTCTTTCTACCCCTTTTCAGAAAGGCCTAAAGAATGTATTTGACGAAGCAATATTGGCTGCCCTGGAGCCTCCGGAACCGAAGAAGAGCCGCAGGTGTGTGCTGCTATGAACATCTCGCCAGAGCCCTTTCTGCACAGCTGGTGTCGGCATCATACTAAAAGCAATGTTTAAATCAAACTAAAGATTAAAAATTAAAATTCGTTTTTGCAATAATGACAAATGCCCTGCACCTACCCATATGCACTCGTGAGAGACAAAGCCCATAGGTATGGCCCCTCCTTCCCCCTCCCAGTACTAGTTAATTTTGAGTAATTGTGTATTGTCAGAAAAGTGATCAGTACTAGTTTTTGTTTTATTGTTTCCCAAAAGAAAGAGAGGAAAAAAAAGAAAAAGAAAAAGAAAAAAAAAAAAAAGCAAGGCATGCTTGTTGACGACTCTGTAACAGACTAATTCCAATTGTTGAAGCTGCTCCCTGGCTCCACCTTGGAGAGTAATCTGGGGCATCTTAGTGTTCTGGTTTTTATCTTTTTTGGGGGGAATGAGTGGGAGTTCATTTTATTTCGTCTTGTTTTTGTTTTCTAATTCATTAACCAGTGGCCAGCCCTTGAGGGGAGGAGGATGGGATTGATTTCACATTCCACTGAATCAAGTTAGAACCCATGTCCCCACCTGGTGCTCTTTGGAAGGAGTACAGTGAATGCCTTATGTGGTAACATACTCCTTTTGAAAGTTGCCTTTCTCTCCATCATTGAGTAGGTTCAGTATTTGATAAAACTCATGAAAGTGGGTGGAGCCTGTCTTGCCCCTCCTCTTTTCTAGGATGCACTATGTATCTGACTGTGACTTTCAAGGAAATTTGTTTGCCATTTGCAGAATTTTTTTTTTTTTGAAGTTAATTTTTAACTTCTTTTATTGATAAATGAAGAAAAGTATTTGCACCTTTTGAAATACACCAAATGAACTGAGTTCATAATTAAAAAAATTTTGTTTTTTCCCTGTCAGTCATTGTCTAATATGCTTAGCTTAGATGTGCAGTTTAATAGTGTAAGATACCGTGTTCTCAGAACACAGCTGAAGACCTGGTGTATAGAGGAAATATGAGGGGTGGTGCTCGCAGACAGATGTCTGTGGAATGATTCACATCCTCTTTCAAGCGATGGGGATGGAGGCCTGCTTCCTGAAGAAGCTTGGGGTGGGGGTGGGGAGAACACGAATAACATGGGGACCAGTCAGGGGAATCCCCCTTTTCTGTTTTACATCTGAGGAACTCTAGAGCCAGTTGAGGCTCTCTAGTTTAATAAAAATTGTGGAAAGAGTCTTCTGAAGACTCTCCTAAGTGTTAATAGGGATTTATCAGCTTATTTTGGTTGCAGTTTCCAATTTCTTAAAATGTTTAGGTAATTTTTTCCACCTCCCCCAAATCCTAATTCTTATAGATTCAATAGTGTTGAACCAATGCTTTCTCATGTCTCAATTCTTTGTATATGCATTCTTTTCAGATGTATTAAACAAACAAACAAAAAAACCCTTTACAAGCCAGCCTGAGGGTTGTTATTTTCCCTCCGCCTCTTACTTTTCAGGTATTTAGGAGTGGGATCCTAACTCTAACATCCGTTTCTAACAGATTTGGGCACATAAATTTAAAATTTGATGATTTTTATTTAATTTCCTTTTTGGCATTCAGGTTGGGATATTTTTTTCTTCCATATACGATTTAGGTTTGTGCTTTCTCCCCTAAGTTTGGCAGGTGGCACAGAAACTTCTTCCTTTAAATACCTACTGAAATCATAACAGTTCTTAGTGAAGAAATGTTGAGGAAGGTCACTGCTCATGTTATTACAAGAAGTAGCAACACTCCTCTAATCCATAAATGAGTTGGAAAGCAGCCATTTATTTCACTGCTAACTTTTCTACTTCAGTGGTTCTTAAAGTTGGCTGCTTACAGTAGTGCAGATTGGTAATGGAAATCTTAGAAAGCTTTTCAGGTATTTTCTACATGCAGCCAAGTTTGAGAGCCACTACTTGTAGGTGGTTATTCCAAACTACATTCACCAGGTTCCATATTCTGTGCTATAAGTCTAAACACTTAAGGTGGCAAGAATAATTGATATATGCCATAGGGCATTATTCTGATCTGTAGGAGACTCTTCAGAACCAAGCAGGATTATTCCAGCCAACTTACACAGTGGGCATGGAGTCATGTTGGTCTTGAGTCCATACTGTCTGTTAGAATCAAGCTAGGCAGGAAAGGGGTTAGGAAAAGGCAGATCTAAGCATATTTGTTTAAACTATATGTCTTATTATTCCTTGTTGACTATGTTGGGGAGAGAGACACCTGGCTCATTGTTTGTATTTCTAGCATAGTAGCAAATAGATCCTTAAAGGTATTTGAATAAATAGTTGATCATTTCTCTGCGTGGTGACCCTTCAGATGCTTGTTTTACATTCTCAATTTCTACTTTGCTTTCTTTTGTGAGAAAATTGGCAGTTATTTTCCTTTACCCCTCTCTCCTAAAGTATTTCTCTTCAAGCTAATCCTTGTATAGAATTCATAGTTCATAAATCTTAAAAAAATCTTGTCCTCATGGCGAAAATTTCAGAAATTACAGGAAATTGCTAGTAATCAAATTGAATCTATTTCATGTATGACTCAAAGCTTGTGCTTTAAAAAAAAAAAAAAAAAGTGATTTCTTAGAGGCAGCTTCCTAAAATAGATGCAAGAGATTGATTAAGTCAGTGGGTAAACAGATGGAAAGTATTTCAACCTCTTTGATAACATTGTTGTTAAGTGCCGTGGAGTCCGTTCTGACTCATAGCGACCCTGCATAGGGTTTCCGAGGCCGTGGAGTCCGTTCTGACTCCTAGCGACCCTGCATAGGGTTTCCGAGGCTGTAAATCTTTACGGGAGCAGAAAACCTCATCTTTCTCCCGCGGAACAGCTGGTAGTTTCAAACTGCTAACCATAAGATTAGCAGCCTGATTCGTTTAGGTGGGGTGGAGAAGTTTTTAAACCTCTTTTTCATTATTTGCCCTGCCCAGCAATTGCCACCCCTTTCTTTCCTCATGAAGGTAAATTTAAGAAGTAAGATTTTGTTGGGCTGTAGGAGGTGTGGAGGGTGGTACAAATGATTATAATACCTCAGTTTTTTTAAACCCAGGAACCAATTTTTGTAACCTTAGAAATAATATTGCCTATTAATATTACAGGAGTCCTGGTGTGGCGCCGTGGGCTAATGAGTCATGCTCCTTGGAAACCCTATACAGGGTTTCTATGGGTTCGGAATCTACTCAATGGCACTTAACAACAACAATAACAATTAATATTACATGACAGAGCCCTGGTGGTACAGTGGTTAGGTGCTCAGATTGCTAACAGGTTGGCGGTTTGACTCCACTGGCTGCTCCATGGAAGAAAGATGTGACAGTCTTCTGTAAAAATTTGTTGTTAAATGTCGAATTGGTTCCAACCCATAACAACCTTGATAATGTTTCCAAGGAGTGGCTGGTGTGTTTGAACTACCAACCTTGTGGTTAACAGTTTAGAGCTTATCCTGTAGCACTACACTAGGAGTCCCCTGTGGCAATCCTGTGGGGCAGTTCCCCTCTGTCTTAAAAGATCACTCTGAGTCGAAGTCGATTTGACAGCAATTGGCTTTACTATAGCACAGGTTGGCTGTTCACACTTGGAGGTCACTTTCTAACTCTTGATAGCCATCTGGATTCTTTCCGATGGGGTGTATAACTAAGGTAGCAGGACATTCTGGGTCAGTGATAAGCAGCAAATCGTCATGTCCAATTTAAAGAGCCATCTGTGCATGTGAAACTTTTGGTGGCATCTTGATGCTATCTTCAGAATTTCAAAATAGTAAGCTTTTATCCTTAAAGGACATTTTTCTGCACATCTTGGATAGAAAAAGATATAATAAGAGATTTCAGAAACTTGCCAAGATTTCAGAAACTTGCTTATATTCAGGGCGGGTTTGACAGTCACTTTTCACATTTAATATTAAAATCCCCACAGGGCTGGTTTCTAGTCAGTACTGGTCTTTTTTCTTGTGTTTTACATCATACACTTTATATAGTCGAAGATTGTCTACTGACAATCTAATCATTACCCATGTCCAGTTGGGTACACTTCCCCCCCAGATGTTTCTAGTGTTATCTTTTTCATAATTCCTTTTGGATAGAACATTGAAATTATTTTACTAGTCTCCTTAGTTCGTGATGCACATTGTAGGGCTGAGGTAGTTAGTATTGGCCAGTGTACATTCTAAGAAATGAAGGGTAAGTCTTGAATATCTGAGAAGATGGCAAATCCTTTTAATGTTGGAGGCAAGAAACAATGTGTATAGAAAGTTATTTTCCTGTGAGTATTTGAATGTGATAGATCAAAAGATCCAGTTCTTTCTTACTAAGGAATACATTTTGTTGATGTTAAGTCTTCTCTAAAATGAGTGGATTATAGACATGTTGTTTATATTTTGTGGAGACTGACTTCTCAAGTGCTTCTCTGATTCTAGGAGTTGCTTACAGAAGCAGACATGCACTTTTAGATTTGATTTTTTTTAAACAATACACAACATAATCCTGATTTTCCTTCTTAATGGTATTATAATTGTCAAAATATGAGTCAAGTCTGAACTTGGCTTTTATCTACTTCCTCTATTTGTATATATTTAGAATATACTGGCCAATACTGACTACAAGCCAGCCCCGTGGGGATTTTAGAATCATAGTTCACCTAAATCTGGTAGCTGAACATGCAAAGCAAAAACCAGATTCTCAGAATTTGAAGCCAAATTGTCAGTCACAAGCTATTGATTCCCTACCAACATTCTGGGAATGTTGCCTTTTGCTTTATTCATGTTTAGATGTATGACTCAAGCCATGGTTTTCAGAAGAGGTCAAGACTTCTCTGAAACAGGAGACAGATAATTATGTATTGGTGCGAGTTTTACTTTGATTATATTTCTGGTTGATGAAACTGTTACCTTTATGTGGGGAGAGAAGGATTATATATGCTAGACTTTATCTTATAAAGAGATGGAGTTCTACAGAGAAAAAGGCAAGTAAGTATCAAGAGCTGAAAGGTAATAAAAGTAGAATGTT